AATATATATATATATATATATATATATATATATGTATGTATGTATATATATATATATATATGTATGTATGTATATATATATATATATGTATGTATGTATCTATAAGTCTGATGGATATAGAAGTCGATTTTATTTTGTGTAAACAATCTGTTCAGCCAAAACCTTTATCTTATAATCATATTACTATTTGGTGTATCATTCTGAAACTGAAGAAGTTTAGGTAGCAAATAAAATTGGAATGCAATGGGTCCAAATGAAAAGAGAAAAAGTGAGGGTTCATATAGTCTATTAGAACTATCGTAGGATTGAGGAATAGCTGTTATTGTATCAATTCCACCACGCACCAAAAATAAATCATATTGCTGATGTAGTTGGTGGATAGTCAAAGTGTGCTGTAGTTGTTTATTTTTAGATAAATACAGTTGGGACCTTGTAAAGTAAAGTCATGGTCCACCTACTTTAAACAACTATATTGGTGCTCATCTTTTCCGCATCTTCTTATAAACAGTAGAATGCCATTTTCTTGAGACTTGTACTTTCAAATTGGTCGTCGTTATTGTCCTAAGAAATTTGTTTCAAGTTTTCGTTGTTAAATTATGTAAAAAGTTGGGTTTTTATCTTTTTGTATTTCCAGTTTCCCATGATGTTTAGTCCTACTAGACATAAAACATGAAGATTTTTCTTGGACTCTTTACGCTTACAGCAGTGATGATCTGCTCCCTTTGTATATTCTTTTACAGCACTTTATTGTTGCTTGAGTTTCAATGGGTAGCCTTTAACAAGAAAAAAAAAGAAAAAGAAAAGAACATGATAGAGATTTTTCCTTGTCAAAAAGACATGATAGACAAACTTAAGTTAATGTCTTAGGAAAATAACAGACTAAAAATATGTTGTATTAGAAAGAAGTTGTACTGACATAAATTTGATCTATTAGAGTTCTTATAAATAATTGGTTGGATAGTTGTTTGCCGCTAAAAATGTCTTATTTTGATATTTGATGTCATATCGTGTAATTTACTAGTGATTACCCTACACTATATTACCTTTCTCTAAGATTCTTTGTCGAACTATTTTGCAATTTCATTTAGCAAAGTTCTGATACAGCAATCCTTTATTATAAATTTATTTTTTGATGTAAACGTCTTTGTTCAATGAGATTATCTTTAGTGTTGAGCCCCTCTACACAGTCAAACATGCGTCCCGATGTATTTGTGATTGATATTCTAGCAAATGTGAAACCAGACACTGATAAATCTGATGTCGCAGTTCTTAACGATGATACACTGTCTTGCTCCTTAAACACATATTCACTTCTGAACTAAACCTACTTTACCCATGTGTCTTGTTTCCTATTTTCGTTTTCTATCCCTTCTGTTTATATAAATTGGAATTTCAGCTGGCTACTTTCTTCATCTGATTGTTTAGCACTCTGCCAACTGTGCAGAATGCTTGGACAGGGGGATACATTGCTGGAACAAGTATCGGTAACCTAGCTGTACATGAGAGAGTTCATCGGTAAGTTATGCAGTAATTTGGAGATATTGAAGAGCTGATGAAGTTTTTTGAAATAGTGATTCTCCTAGTTATGTTTTTTTTTTCAAAAGGGAAAAGGTAAGTGTATCAAAAGACTTGTGTATAAGTTCATGTAGTGAAATCTCTTTGGAATGAATGAGAATAGTTGCTGATAACATGAATTCTCGTCTTGCATTAGTGACCTATTTTATAAGAGATCTTCATTTTTATATTTGAAGGATTTGGAAAAGTCATTTTTTTCCTATTCAATTTGTAAGTGATCAGAGGAGATCAGTTTTTCGTGACGCTATATATGTTGCTTGAATATTTCATTGGCTTGATGTAATTGTGTCAAACGGGTTGAATAATACCACGTGTAATGCTATTATTAAAGAAATTTGCCAGACTGTGAGTACACCTATTAACATTCCTCCTAATAAAATTATGGATACGTAATTGCAACACTATTTTCAGTTACGTGCTGAGTTTCTTGTTGAAAATTCTCCAAATTGATTTTGTTTGATTTTTCAAATGTTGAAAAGTAAATGGAGATTTTATCGAGGCTCAAGTAATGAAAAGCTATTAAAAATAATAATTAAAAGTTGAATATGTAGTGTGGAATGATCCAACAATGACATTGAATTTTAAGTTAGATTATAATTTTGTTGTCTTTTTTTCCTCCACATAGTTTGTAAGTAATTTTGGTGAATGTCAGCTTCTCTATGTGATCTTTTATAGTTAGCAAAAAGGTTTTAAAAATAAATAAATTTTCATGTTGAAAAGTTTTCAAAGCTAAAAAAATTTCTATCAAAGACAATTTATTTTTAAAACTCGAATAAGACCTTTAACTAATGATAAAGAGGTACTTTCCACTCCATTGCGACCTTTGATAATAACTGTATAGTGTCTCCATTGAGCATTTCTATAATCAAAACCACACTAAATAGTCAAATAACTTTTCTTTTTAACCAAAAGTTTTTATTGCACAATGTTTTGAACTTTAAAAAGATGTGGTTTATAGTATTCCTTCCTTTCAGGGCGGACCTACATTCGTTAAAGGGTGTAAAGCGATATTCTTTTGCTGGAAAATTACATTGTATATATAGATTAAATTTTGATTTAACACACACGTACAAGTACGCATGGACACACTTATAGGCACGCACACACCTGTTGTTAAATTTATTAAGGTTGCGTGATGAAGCCTTGTTGGACTCATAATATAAATTTATTGAATAAAATTAAACAAACAACTAATTTGAGCGCAAAAGTGGTCCAGGTTAGATCCTACAAAACAAAAAGGAAATAGAAACACCTAAAAAGAAAATAAGCAATTATGGAAGGAATCGAACCAAAACCTAAGATAAAAGAGAAGCTGCAGAGGTATTCTTCTCCATCCGATTGACCCTTCCCTCTCCTCCTACGATCTTACTTCGACCATCGTTTCTCAACAACACAATATGAGATTTACTATATCTTAATTTCTACTATTTTTCAAAATAGATATACATATATACATATGATTTTTTCGAAAGTTACCAGGTGCACGTGCACTCCAGTGTAGATCCGCCCCCGCAGTTATGTGCGCGCACGTGTCCGTGAGTGAATGAATGTGTGTTTGTCTTAAAAATATCATTTATAGTAAAATATTATAAACTCACTAATAATTCACAATATTTGTATACATTCTTTTCCCTTCCCGTCAACAAAGTTCTTTAGTAGAGCAACAAGTAAAAATACCTTTTTACGATTAAAATTTTTTTTTATGTCATATGATCTCCCAAGAAACACCACCAATATTCCAACAACAATAACAACCTCTACCCTCTCCACAGTCCAGTGGTTGTATCCCTATCCCTTCCACTATTGTATTTTCTATTAAACACTATTATTATTACATATTTGTGAATAAAAATATAAATACACATTGATTATAATAAAAAAATAATATTTTCAAAATGAAGAACTTACCATCTATGACATCAATTAATCTATAGATACAATGAACATTTGTAATTAAATGACAAAAGGAAATCAAAAGTTTTGTAACAGTTAAAATGACCCTAATTTTATACCTTTGAAGGATAAAATTAGTCATATGACATTAATAAAAATATATTAATTAAACTTCTTGGAATTAATATTATTGCTTCAATTTTTTAAACTACTTAATATGTCATTTATGTGAAGTCTTTTTAACTTCAAAAGTTATACTTTTCAAATTCCAATACCTTTAATTCATTTCCGTATCTTCTTTTTTCAGATTTTTTTTAATCAATTATTTAAAAAATTCCGCACCTTTATTCTATCTTATTTACTCCCTCCGTCCGGTATTGTTTGTCATGATTTCTATATTTAGAGTCAAATTATAAAAATTTTGACCAACATTTTAAGATGTATTTTTTCATCATATTAATATACAAAAAGTTGTAATTTATAGTACTTTTCATATAGTTTTAGAATATCTAATTTTTTTGTTTAAAATATCGAATTAATGTGATTCAATTTACCTTTGAAAATTAGTCAAATTGACTTTCGATTCCGAACGGTGAGTAATAAATTTCATTAAATCTTAATTAATAATATATTTAATTTCTTATCAGTTACAAATATTATATATATTCATATTAACTTCAATTGTATTTGTCTTCTCAGAGCTTCTCTAAAGTTGCATCATATTATAAAAGTTCAAAACTTAAGAGAAAAAATGTGATTGATATACAACACTCTAATCCTTACACTTATTTCTTATTTATAAGAAATGATTAAAATGTGATTGATATACAATTGAATATTCTTATCTTGATTTTTTCAAAAATATCTATTTTTGTGCGCGTATATATATATATATATATATATATATATATATATATATATATATATATATATATATATATATATATATTATTCCTAAATTAAATTAAAATATTATAAAATATCTAATTAATTAAGTTTTAAATAGCCAAAGCTGAGAAGTTTAATGAACAGTCACTTTGCCCTTAAACCTAAAACAATTCCTTTGATAAAAAATGGGAAGATCAAAATCTCAAAGTTGGATTATTATTTTGTCGTTTGTCCATATACTATAGTTAAATATTATATTAATTAAATTATAAATATTAGTTGTAATTCCTTTTTCTTCCTGTTAATATTAATTACACAATAAGTTAGTTGTAATTTTTTTCTCTGAATGTTATTTAATTTTCTGCTCCTTAAGTTTTAAATTTGATAATTAGTTGAATTTTAAATTTAATGCTCCTCATAATGCTTACTTTAATTCTTCATTGGATTACTATTTTGTCTCTATATCAAATCGAATGTTATAAAATATATGGTTATATATAAAATTGAAATTATCACTACAAATTTTCAGATGAAATAAAATTATAGATCATTTTTTAATTTTAATTTCTAGCAATATTTGAACAGTTTTATTTGTAGATTAGTACGTTTTTCAGGTTGATGCATCATTACTTTAATTATAATAATGGCTAAATAATGAACTAGGAGAATAATTCAGATTTTGAGAGTGTTTAATTTATTAATGTAGTCTTATTAAATACTAAGCAATGACTCCTATAAAGTATTTAAAGGAAAAAATATTTAAGAATAAATAGTAACATGTAATCACTATATGATAATGGTAAATCACCTAAACTATTTGTCATTGATATGCACTTCAAAACTCAATATAGAATTGAATTTTCAGATTAATATTTGCATGTTTGCCTTCTTAATAAAACTTTCACTAAATATATACTTTAACACTTTATCATCTCATTCCATTTTCTTCATTTACAGAAATCTGATAGTTATAGTTCACTTATTTTGATATAATAAAATACGCAAAATGAAGTGTTGTAAAAACAATTAATTATAATATTAGTAAAAGCTCTTAAAATAGTTTTCATTTCTCCATCAGATGCAAAATATTACAAAATAAAATACTACAGAGTTATTGTAAATATAGTGTTTAAAAGTGCAAGTCAATAATTTCTAGGTCTAATTATTATTTATTATGTGTATTAATACTATACACCTTCACTATCTCCTCACTGATCTCCCAAACTTGTATAATTTTATCCACATTCTCAAGAAATTAATGTCATATTTAAGACACTCTTTGATTTTACTTAATTATATCCTATAAATGGTGTCATTGTATACATTGTGAAGAGACTTTTGCCCACTTGGAAGAAACAAAAAAAACATTTCTAACTGTCACTATATTTCTGTTGGTTTTATCTTTCAGTATTATTAGTTTTAGCTTCATTTTATAACACTAAGCACTTTGTTACTCATATATTCTTTTGTTGCTTGCAGAAATAAAATGTATTGTGTACAAATTCTTACTACTTCTAATGGAACTTGTAATGAGAGAAGGCATGTTGAAATCTTCAAGGAGACAGAAATTAATCTTTTGATGATCGAGTTGGAATGTTAACATCTTAGTTAGTAAACACAATCAATTTTTATATCTATGAAGTTAGGCTTATATAAATTTTATATCATAGTAGGGATCAAATGTGCAACGCACGTTTCCAAGACTAGTTAATAATAATGATGGGAATGAATGGGTTATAATGCAGCCATTGCTCTATAGACATGTTGAGTGGGTGTTGTTCTTGTTGTTGTTGAAATATTTATGGTGCATTACATGGGAATTTTCCTAGAAATCGGTATGAAAATTTGGAAAAAAATTATTTTTCTATAAATTTCATACTAATCTCTAGGAAAATCCCTATGTAATTCATTCTTTTCCTATAGCGTTGATTTTTGAAATCCATAGGAAAATGTTTTTACTTTTTGTTCTACTGGACAACTTTGTTGACGTAAAGGAAATAATGTTTACAAATATTAATGATATTATCAATAAGTTTATATTTGAATTAGAGATTAATCATGTATAGCCTGTTTGACATTGTTATTGGGAGGCCAAAAATATATTTACGTAAACAAAAAAAAACTTTTGAAAAATTAAGGGTTTGGCAAACCCTCAAAAGTGCTTTTAAATAGAAGCAGAGGAAAAAAGCTAAAATATTATACTTCTTAAAAATATTTATTTTCATATTTACTAATATGTCTCTTATTAATTAATTTACATATTTATATGATCAACTTTTTATTTTATTTATGTTTGTATATTATTATTTATATTTTATATATTATTTTACGTATTATTACATGATGAAATTAGGGATTGAAATCATTGAAAAAAACTATGACGGATGAAGAACTTATTTACTTTGTGGTATGTTTTTTGTATGTGATGATTTAATTTGTGGAATAGTTTTAAAATTTATTTTGCTTGATATAATTAAATATATTTAAATCATCATGTTAATATTATATTAATATTTTATTTATTTATAAAATAATTTTAATATGATACTTGTCATTTTCGTAATTTGACTCTCAAAAGTAATCTTGATTCGTCATTTTTCAAATGAATTGATCAAACATCAATTATTATTATTATTTTTATCACTTTTCAGAAAAACTATTTTAGAAAAACACGTCTAGCAAATAACTAGTTTTTAGATCAATGCCGAACTGGCTCTAAATATTGATCAATCATACTGTAATCCTCGTCATTTTCTTTTTTTTTTTACAAAGTATTAATAATGATTTTTTATGCTTCACATAGCTTTCGAATATAATTTTGTTTATGCTATTATAGTTTGTGTAAATTATATATTTTCACTCTCCTAAGCACATTAACCCATATTTAACCCCCACACCTCGTGTCTCTCTCCGCTGATATCTGCAAAATAATAATCAAAAGGTATGTCTCATCCTAATAATCTTGGAAATTCAATCTTCTATTCTTGAAAAAATTACCTTATTCAATAATACCCAATTATGTTTGGTGCCAAATTTTATCATAACTTTTGTAATTTCGTTATTATCTTAAAAAGTAGAAAGGAAAAACTTGCCCTTTTTGATTCTTATAGTTCAAGATACCATATACAGTGCTGCTTGTATGTGGCATAGGATAATTGGTTGTTCTTTTATTGTTTAAAAAGGAAAGATTGGTCTTTTATTTCTCTGTGTTTTAAAATCTTGAATTTTTTGCCTGTTGTGTTTGAATTGTTGGGGGGAACAGAGACAATGGGGAATCTGTTCTGCTGTGTACAAGTTGACCAATCCACAGTAGCTATTAAGGAGAGATTTGGCAAGTTTGATGATGTGCTTGAGCCTGGATGTCATTTCTTGCCATGGTGTATTGGGAGCCAGGTAGCTGGTTACCTAACTTTAAGGCTGCAGCAGCTTGATGTACGCTGTGAAACCAAGTCAAAGGTGCGTAAATGTATGTGATTTGGCGTAAACTCTCGATGTTGATGGAGTTTTATTATCAAAGGTGTTAGCTTGTTTTGACAGCTGCTTGTTTTTTCCAACTAGATCTATGACATTTCATTAGTTTGGTAATCATAAAATGGAGAGGAAGTTCTCCACTCTGCAACCCAGGGATCGATGCTACTCTTAGTTACTTGGTTCATATGAACCACTAGTTTTAATGTGTAAGTGTAAATATATGTAAAAAAATTCATTAAAATTGCAAGAAATAGTAGATATGAAGTCATTACTTGAAAAATCTAATGGGTTCAATGTGAAAAACCTTAAATGTTTCAACTCATAATGGCATATGCTTGAATCAACTCTTTCCCTTAAGTTGTTGTTGATGATTAATTCATATTAAAACATGATGGAAAATACTGTTAAACTATGTGGTTGAAAGTTCGTGAACTAAGTTGCGAAAGGCCATTGTTGGCTCTTAGGTAGATGATTGTGGGGGGTGTGAGATTTACCCTAACAAAACAAAAGGTAACAGATTATTGAAACTATTAGCGCAAAGATGATGTTATGTTATAAATTTGTCTTGTCTTGATTATATCCTTGTTTCGGCTTTTGAACCCTGCAACCTAATGGTTGAAGGATGGAGGGGGGTTCTACTACTATAAAAAGCCTTGTGCTTGTCGTGTCATATCTTTCTCCTGCTGTCCTGCATCATATTTGCTGGCGTGAAGCGGTGTTCAAGAGCTCAACCAACTAATTCACTTAACTTGGATCCAGTAGATTATGTCCAGATAATTGATATGGCCACAGAATTGAAAATAGTTTTTGCTAGACTGTACTTGTAGCACGCGTTTTTGTTTGTCCTTGTGAACCTTTGTGGACATCTACGTTCTGATTTTCAATCAAATGAAAGGACGACATGTAAACCACCATAATAAATCATGATAATCTAATAGGGGATATCTCACTGTGCTCAATGACAGTAATCTACAGCATGACCTTTTCCTTTGTCATGATTTAACTGATAAAACATTTCATTTGTCGTGCAGGACAATGTATTTTTAACTGTTGTTGCTTCTATACAATACCGTGCTCTGGCTGATAAAGCTACTGATGCTTTTTACAAGCTTAGTAATACTCGATCCCAGATCCAAGCCTATGTGTTCGATGGTATGAATAGATGAATCTCTTAGATTCTTTTTTTCTCATGACGCAACATAAAAAATGGTTATATCTAAAGTTTCAGCGCACTGCAATTGCATGAGCACAATGTTTGATGTTCTTTTTTGAACTTATTATTTCCTCCCAAATAATGATATCTCTCATGACTGTACAGTAATCAGGGCGAGTGTTCCAAAGCTAAATCTGGATGATGTGTTTGAGCAGAAGAATCAAATTGCTAAAGCAGTGGAGGATGAACTTGAAAAGGTAATTCATTCCCATCATATACGGTGCTATACAAGTGACAAGCAATGATGATTATTGTACTCATCTTCCTTTGTATGATATGTAGGCAATGTCTGCTTACGGGTATGAGATTGTTCAGACACTTATAGTTGATATAGAGCCAGATGAACATGTTAAGCGAGCTATGAATGAAATCAATGCAGGTATCATGTATAACCTCTCTTTAGTTAGTCCAATGCTGGCAACACCTCATTTCTGTCTATCTAATAGCAGTAATTCATCTCATGGGAAAGTTCTATGGTGATTTATAAATGACTTACCGATAAAATTAGGTGTGATCAGGTCTGTGAACCTACAAAGATAGCTGTTTCAGAATTATGGATGGATGGTGATATATACAACAAGACCATAAAAAAATGACTTGGGGATGACTAAAATACATATATTCTTACATACTTAGCTTATGTGTGTCTCAAGTTTGCTCATATTCTCATGTGAAACATGAGAGCGTGAGCAAGCTTAGTCTTTCGTTATTCGTATTGACCCTACCTCATAGGTTTCAGTAGCCCCTAAAGTGCATCAGGATTCTATTTTCAAAAATGTTCTTCTCTAGTGGTTCTCACAAAAGATTTCCTTGTTAGGAGAATAAATTCCATTATGGCTAGATTCTGTTGCTACATTGGACTCTGTCAAGCAATTCATTTCAATTTATCCAGAATCTAGCTGGTCACAAGTAATTCTTAATGCTTTAACCTAACTGTTGGTTTACATCCAACTGTGTCAGCTGCAAGGTTGAGAGTAGCCGCCAATGAGAAAGCAGAAGCTGACAAAATTGTCCAGATAAAACGAGCTGAAGGTGATGCTGAGGCAAAGTACCTGGCAGGACTAGGGGTTGCTAGACAACGCCAGGCCATTGTTGATGGTTTAAGGGACAGTGTTCTTGGATTTTCGGTAAATGTACCTGGAACTACTGCCAAGGACGTCGTGGACATGGTCCTCATTACTCAGTATTTTGACACCATGAAGGAAATTGGTGCCAGCTCCAAATCCTCAGCAGTCTTTATCCCACATGGACCTGGTGCTGTGAGTGACATTGCAGGGCAGATTCGACAAGGATTACTCCAGGGTTCAGCTGTCGAGCAACAAAATCTTTTATAAATTTGTTTCACAGTCTGTCGTGTGATTCTGTTTTGTAAGTAATATTTCTTGATTTGATTATGATGGCCACTATTGTTCTCTACATATATGTTAGTTGCTAATGTGATCACATGCAACTATATAAGTCGAAGGTTTGTCGTCTTATAGTCGGTTCTATGTATTGTTTCATTGACATATTACTACATGCCATAAAAAGTGATTTTTCACTCTAGTGAGCATCTTGTGTAAGCTACAAACTTGCGCCTCCTTTGGCTATAATACATATGCAAGCTCCTAATACCACTCAGTTTTCAGCATACACAATGATACAATCAAACACAACTGCAACGCTTAGAATGGCACCCAGAGAAAAATAAAACTGAACACATTTTTCCTGAGGTATTGCCTTATCTTCTTAGTGCATTGTAAACATCAATTGCTAAGCAGAATCCAGAACAGCATATAGCATTGTATGATCTTTATTTAACCGACCAGGCCATTATATGAAAGTCTCAACAGTTTCTAAGCTGTAAACATGGACCAAAGTATTGAAAAATTGGCTGTTGATTATGATAAAATCTCAAGCTTAGCCTCTCAAGGTTATAGAATCAATATAAGGACACCACCCATCATTTTCAAAAAGGGTGAATAAGAATGTACGAACTTAGAACAAGGATGCATAGGTTCAAGCAACCACCTAGATTTATTTTTACAGTGCAAAAAACACTACAGAACAAGTCTTCAAATTGCAGTAATTGCCTCATGTCTATGGATTAAAGATGAAAAACCTATGGCTTGAGAGCCAAAGCAAGTCCAAACTTGGCACCCTTGTCAACAGATTTAGTGTCCACTTCTCCTGAAACTGTGAAAAGGGACTTCGGACGCCACTCATGTTGAAGCAGAGCACTGGCCTTGCCAAAGTTGTTAATCCTTGCCTTCACACTGGTCAAAGGATCCAATCGGTGCTGAGTACCCACGGTGATGATGTTCTCATTGGTAGAGAAGCTGTGATTCACCTCAGCCCCAACAGCGGTACTTGTAAGAGGGCTCACTGTGTGGTAGTATGATGCAGTCAGATTGTCTCCCTTGTTATTCCTGAGTTGTCATAGAGCATGCACATCAAAAAACTAACATATAACTTGAATGCCTAACTTGATATATAACATATTGAATTTCAAGTGAACACATGCTAAAGTAAGGTACACCACTCACAGATTCAAAGAAGCAACAAGGTCGGCATTTGTGAAGCTCAAACCAGCATTGCATTTGGTGAAATCTCCAGTCTTGGTGTCAAAGGATACATCAGTTCCAAGAGCAACAATGTTGGTACCCACTACACCAGAAAAGTTAACAATAGGGTTTGCTGTCAACCCTACGCTAGTGCATATCCCAGCATAGTCATGCAGATATTGAACTTCCAACTGTCAAGACCAATACAAAATTAGAACAAGCAGAAGTAGCACACAATTTGACATTTTCTTATTCTAATAGACACATTTGATGCAATATGATATTGCTATTTACCTTTCCAGACCTTTGGTCAGGAACTCTGAAGCTTAAAATTGTCTTCAACCCAGGAGCAGCTTCATCAACGGTAATGGTGGTGAAAAGCTAGCATAAATACAACAATAAGTCAGATCAACTACTTTGTTATAATGCATATGGCAAGAAGAAAAATACAAATATATTATGCTTAAATGATACATCTAACTAGTGAAGAATGAAACAGTATGTGAAAGCTAATATACAATTTATCAAATACTGTTCTGCATATACTCTAGTCAATGAACCTAACGTCCAAACTGCTAGAGACCAATTTTTTCGTTACCAATACCAAGGTTGAATGAATCATTCCACCTCGCAACAGCAGAAGTGGAGTTTGGCACAGTTGAAGGCAAGAAGGAGTTCCACTTGGGAAAGGAAAGGGCAATTCAAAACAAAGGACCCAGTCTCAAGGGGCAAGCTTCTCAGTGTCCAAGAAGTTGACAAACAAAATAAAGGAAAAAATCAAAATGCAAAGAAAAAATAGGAGAATGCAGTATGCACAAGTGAGTAAATTACAAAATGATAAACGAGCATATTGCAGTACTCACATTGGAGTTTGTGTCTACTTTAATGTCTGTTGTAACATTCTTGTTCTTCAGCTGAGTGTTAACATCAGCCAAAAACAGATCACCTTTCTTCGATCCTGATGAAGTAATAACCTGCAGAAGGACATGGAAGATTATCTTACAAACCAATTTTAACAGCCAGACAACAAGAAACACTACAGCAGAAATTTATACAAGTAATCACAGGGCAGTACCCTAAAAAATCAAAAACATTTGTGCTATTACAAAAATGGTAAAGCCGGAAACAAATAATTGTCATAATTAACTTCCTGTCAAGCCATTAAAATTAGGTTAAATCCCCAATCTAAAAGCTGAACAAGCATATGAAACAGGTAAATACATCATAAGTTGCATTCATAACAACTATACCAATGGAACCAACTGTGACGACTTCTATATGCATTAAACCATCCACAAATCTAATGTCCAAGTTTAGATAAAACATACAAGTAGATCAAATTTCTGTTTCTGAAGTCGAAATGTAATAATTATATGAAGTATGAGATAACAATTCGTGCAATAGTTACAAATGAACAGCAATAATCGATGAATTACAGAATACACAAAGATGCATAAATAACAGTATAAATCAAAGGAGTTAAATCAGCAAAAATAAACAGATCGGCGTGAAATCAGAGGAGAAACTCACAACTCCGGTGGGAGAGTAGGTAGTGATAGAGAACTTGTGGTCACTCTGGTAGTCCTTGTACAACAGATCTGATTATTCAAAACAACGGAAACAGTCAAAAACACAAAAACCAAATCAACACTGCATTTTATCTCATAAACAAAAAAAAAACTCTAAATCAATAACACAACACAATCATTTTGATAAATACACACAAATACCTGTTTAATCATGAGAAATCAACAGAAAATATAAATAGAGAGAGAAGTACCTCGAGCCTTCTTTCCGATTTCAGTGTAAAGTCCAGGACCCTTCCCCATGATTGAAGCTCAAATTCTGAGTAAGAAGAAGAAGAGAAATGAAAGGAAGCTCTAGTTGTTGTAGAGCTGCAGTGTGTTTTTTGTGTATATAAATGCTTGCAATGCCCTAATTTTTTTGGTCTCTTTTTGAACGGTGTGCTATCACGAAGGGTGATCTCGACCGTAGATTTGTGTCTTGCAAAGGGGTGTACCACGCTTAGGACCGTCCATTTTCTACATCGAGATGCCAACTCAGAACGTATGACGACGATTTTTTGATGAAATATCAACAATTTAATTTTTCCATTATAATGTCTGCTGCAATTAAAATTCACTAAATTTGAAGTTTGGTTTATAACTTTACTTTTTTAATTATAAATCCTATTCGACATTTTATAGTGTTTTATATAAAGATACGAATATAGTTAACAAGTTTAGATGATAAAATCTCCAGTAAATAATATTTGATCAAAGATTTCATACACTTGGATATGACATATGAAAAGTAATTGAATTGAGTACTCTTTATTTTAATTTGTTAGTTTACTTTTGTTTAGTCGGTTTTAATATAAATATTTTGTTACTTTTTAATTAGCTTTTTAATTTTTAAATTTCTACATTATTTACGATCACAAGATTAAAATGTATTTGAATACATTTGACATATTTTAAATTAAAGATCAAAATTATTTTTTTAAAAAATTATTTTTAAAAATTTATATGAAATCAAAATCGATCAAACAAATTAAAATGGAAAATAAATAATAAGCAAGACAAGAATAGGATATATATGCAAAATAATCCTAAGATTTTCATACACTCGATTGGGTGGTGGGTACTTTTTTCCAATTTTTTGGATTTATTTCTTCTAGTATCGAATAAGTTAATAAAGATATGAAAAGCTGGATTGTCCACCAAGAAAGTGTTCCTTTAAAAAATACAGCATGAAGAAGGAAATAAACGTCCGTTTGAATTGATTTATTTTAGATATTTTTATATTAAAATAATTTTTAAATAGCTTTGAATATCAAAATAAAATTAAAAAGTATTTATTTTAAAATTAAAAGTTATCAGTTAAAAATTCTAACTTATAAATTTTTTTCTCAAAAAGCAAAAGTCAAAAACTATATCAACAGGCCCTAAACTCTATTTTTGCTACAAGCCTACCAAGCAAATAATTTTGACCAAAATTATGTGCTACGCTTTATATTGTATTGTCTATCGTATGTACTTAATTTATGCATTAAATTTTAGCAAATTAAATTGATCAAGTAGCTAAGTTACAAAAATCCTTCCATTAGTATATTGACTAATACTTTGTGAACTAAAATTCTCAGTGAAAATTCTAAAAATTTCCTTATCCTATTTACTGAATTATTATTGGCGTCTTTTTAACGTGCATGGCATAATATTAAAAATGAGTACATCTTTAAAGTTGTATAACTTTGAATGTACATAAGCACATCTTTAAAGTTGTATAAAATTGAGAAAATAGACACATTCTGTCTATATGGCACTCTATGTGGGAATTACATATCCTATATGGTATTCAACGGGCTACGTGTATTATGTTATGTAAGACACGTTTGTCTATTTGTTCAATTTTATACAAATTTAAATATTTACTTATACACACTCAAAATAAAAAAACATATTTATCCATCAAAATTAAATTAAAAGTCATATTTATGTATTCTACCTTTTAATATTACAGTTACTTTTTTTTTGGTCACAACTCCCATCACATGGATGGCTCGGCCCTGAGTGAAGGAATACAATGGTAAAGGAAAAAAAATTGAATAAAATGGTCACTTTTCCATTATTTTGGAACAATATTTCGCAAAGAGAGTGTTTATGAACTTAGGCCAAACGTCTATTATACATTAAACTAGTTAACATGGTCGCGCTTCACGCAATCATAATAACTATTTTTAAGATAAAATTTTCTTATAAATTACCATTAATCATCAAATGAAAAGTAAATAATTCATTCTCCACATTTTTTAAAGAAAGGATGCTTAGTCTATATGAGGAACTACTGAACTTAGGCCTTTTTTTAAATCATTCCTCAATATGATTTATTTAACAAAAATCATACTTGTTAGGTATGAAATACTTTTTAAAAGTCTTTGTTTTTGTGCAGGTTAAAATATGAAAAATAACAAAAAGCATGTCAATAATAATAAAAAAAAAGAATGACTAACTATTTTCTAATCAAATAAAAGGTTAATATATAAAATCGTAATAATAAAATTTGAGAAGCAATATT